AACACACACAAAAACACACACAAAAAACACATACAAACACACAAAAAAACACACAAAACCACACACACACACACAAAACAAACACACACACACACACACGCACACACACACAGACACAACCCCCACACACACAGACACAACCCCCACCCACACACACACACAGACACACACACACACAAAACAAACACACGCACACACACGCACGCGCGCACACACACACAAACGCACACACACACACACACACGCGAGGGCGCCCACACACACACACACAGACAGAGGGCACGCTGTATGTTGCGAGAGTGTGGAGCTTCACATGGACCGATTCGTGCACGATCCACGGCATGAAGAGCATGGCACACTTCCCTCGCCTTCCAAATCTGGATGCAGGTTTCGGATTTCGACCATCTGCGCACATGCCTTGTTGCTGCAGCTATTACAAAGTAAACATCAACAGTCAGGGCTTCGTGCGATGACTGGCAGAAAGATGCGATGCCATGATGGATCAGATCTTGCGACTGATACGGTATCGCCCGACCAACCCTTCAAGCTTGTCAAATTCGCCAGCTGGGCTGTGGGAAGTACATGAGGGTTAGCCGTGCATCGTGCGGGGCCCTGGCACAAGCTCGCATTCGCAACGCATTCTCACGGCTTGGACTGCAAGCTTGGAGACCTGCGATGAATCTGTTATTCTTTTTACTTCTTGAAGACCAACCGAGTTAGTTTGTCGAATGTGTGTCCTGCGTCGCATGGCAGAAAGGTCAAAGGCTTTGAGCGGGCCGGGGCCCCAAAACTGCCACGTTCAGGGTTGGAGGATGGCGCGAAGATTTGCACCGGGCTGGCTATGTCTATGGTCATTGGTCCGAAGACCAATGTCTGTGTTTGCTATTTACTTTCTCGCCCTGACATTTCAGGGCTTCTTTCAAGGCGCTTTGCACCGCTGCATCGTCAGTCTTTGCAGGCCTGGATCGCCGTACACTCCACTGGAAAAAGAAAACGTGGAGGCAGGGAAAATGCCACTGTCGAAACTCGGCACTATCACAAGTGTTGAAACCGGATGCCCTGAGGTGGAGACCAACAAGCTTCGTCGAGTTCGCTTCTCGGTGCTTAGCAAGTGCTAGTTCGGGGCAGTGGGTAGGCAACACGTCTGCGTGCATGGCGAGTTGGCTGGTCTCTATCGAGCCATCGAGCTGACGTATCAGCTTGTGCTCGAGTCGAATGTCAAGTTTCGCATAATCAGTCTCGCTCGCAAGCTTCCCCGGCTCCTCGCCGAACAGAGTTCGAAACTCCATACCGACTGGAGAGGACCATCCGCACAGCTCTCTATTCACGCCTGCAAGTGCTTGCCGCCGGAAGCATGCAATGAAAGCAACACAGAGGCAGTGGAGGAGGCGGAAGAGGAGGTGCGTTCTGGCGTGCCGTTGTGCAGTGACAGCTACGTGCGAGTGCTTTCAGGCAAAGTCCGCAAAGCAAGCATCGGTTCAAGCCCTCCTGGAAGCCGAGGCCGGTTTGCTCTCGCGAAAACTTGATGGTCTTAGTTAGGCAGCACGAGAGCCATTCAACCTATGCCTCAGCCGCAGGGCTACAAAGAGGAGCTGGAGAAAGCAAATGGCGTGATACTTTCCATCAAGGAGGCTCAGTTCCGCGGCTCGTCCCACTGCTTTTCTTTGCATTCTTGGGCGGAGGAGCTGAAAGCTGTGCGGCGAGCGACATGCAGGGAAATACGCGGGTTGCAGCCCGGGGCTCATGTGCTTGTCTGTACACTTTCAGCCGGAATTCTGTCCCGGCCCACATGCCCGTGCCATCAAATCTTGGCAACACGAGACCAGAGCTACTGCCTTGTCCTACATGTGGCCCGTGAGCTGCAGCAAGCGCTTGCTGACCCAACTTGGCAGTGTGGCTATGGTCTTGTGTCCGCTTCTCACAGCTTTTGCTGCCAAGGATGGTGCAAAATGTCTGCGAGACGCAGCACCAAGAGTTGGTGAAGGAGAGGCAGAGGTGCCAAAGCACGGCTGTTGGTTTTCGAACTCAGTCCATGATCCATCATGAGTCACCATCGACTGCCCGATGATGCTCGTCGCTTGCTCGGCTTCTTCTTCTCTTGGAGGGCAAAATGGGGTGACCAGGTCAGCACTCGTACGTAACGTGGGATCTCTAGACTCTCGTCTTTCTCATCGAGGTTTTGACTCGCAGAAGGAAGGCCGTGAAGATCCCTTGAAAGCAACAAGTCCTTTGGGTTCTTTCTGAAATCTTTGCATGATGTCATGCTCCAAGTCACGAAATTTGGTTGTGGGCCAAACAAGTTCAGGGGGCCATTGCTCCTGATCAATTCGGCTGTGTCGATTAGGGGCAGAAAGCAGCTCGTGGGCACCGACACCCCAAACACATCTAAACACTGTCAGAGGGTTTGCTATGCGCTGGCCTTTCCTGAGCGGAAGGTCAACCCGAAATGCCGAAAGCCTTTTTCCTCCAGCCACCTGATAGGAAAATGAAACAATTGAGAACCTCTCCACTCGGCAGCAGAAAATCCATGGTTGAGCGGGTGCCCCTCTGAGCCCTACAGGTCACATGCTGTGGCCGAAGAGCTCCGACGAATCAAGGCTGAAGCTGTCTGGAGCCTCGGCATGGGTACGTGGCGCGGGGTCATCTTCGGAATAATTACTGGGATGCTTCATTGAAGCCAACGTTTTCGGAGTCTGAAGTTGGACTACGCTGCAACGATTCTGCACCAGGGTCGGAGAGGTTCCAGCTTACAGGAATTGGCTTGTCCAGCTTGTGCCGCAGAGAGGCTGCTTCGCACGGATCGGGTGCCATAAAGACTTCTTGGCGTCGAATCGAAGCGCGGGGCCTGCGCACCTCTTGTGGCTGAGGTTCTGAACGCCACAATCGGCAAAGAAGCACCTTCCACAGGCCTGCTTGCAGTGCGCAGAATCGCCAAAACAGCCAGAGCACACTGCGCAGATTTTGCCGAATCCTTAAGACCTTTGCTGAGACCGTTGTGCTGTTTCGAGGGGTCCCTGCATCAAAAGAAGAAGAAGAAGTTGGCATCTCAACGAGCTGAGCCTTCTGCGAAGCCCTTCTCTCTGTGTTCCAAGCATCCCAAAGCGGTGACTGAGGTCGAAACCCTTCGAAGAGACGATTTGTCCGAGACCACTGCATCCTCGTCCTCAGCGGCCTCAGACTCAGCCTCATGGAATTGTCTAGATTGGAGACTGCTGCCCGAGACCTGAGGAAGCGGTGGCTANNCTTCCGCGAGCACGTCGTCGATACGCAGGAGACAGTGCTCATCCGACTCCATGATCGTGGAAACTGCTCGTGCGCCAGGATCTTTTGGATGATGAGATGGCCAACGTAAATACCGTCTTGGATGTCCAAGACGAGGCACGTCGGCAAGCAATTAACAGGTATAGGAAAGCAGCTAAACTCGGAGCTTTCGAACCTGCAATCGAAAGCATGAAAACAACTCAGCAAGAGAGAGCTGCTGTCGCATCTGCTGAAACCACGAGGATTCGCTGAACTCTGGGCTCCAAAGCCTTCCGTAGCCTTCCGTTGCGCGACAAAACTTTGGGTAATCAGGACGACGGGTATGGCAGGTGTGGCAACTGACAACGCTAGAAGACCAAAGCAGTGACCGCCCAGTTCTAGGTTTGTACCTTTGCGAGAGGAGGTCTTTGTCAATGCATCTTTACAGCGATTCGAAACGTGCAGGTGCTTGACGCCTTGGCCAGGGTTACCCAGGACAGGACGGATCTGCGCGCCAGGCCATGCCGCTATCAGATCTGGCATCTGACACCCGCAGTTAGGCCCTCACAGAAAACACGTCAGATCGTAGCACAGGCTGAAGACCAAGCAGTCGGAGACTGACCAAGTTCGCCGCGAGCTTGAGAATGCAGAGGCTCGCTCCAAGCAGCTCTCGGCGCCAGAATCCTGATCCCTAGTGCGAATGAGGACTTATGTAGTTATGTAGCGCAGCGCTTGCGTCCAGTGCTGTGCCATGTCTGACTGGACGGTGTTCACTATTGTTGCAGCCATCACATGTTCGACAGTGTTTCATGGTGTTTCTGTTGAAGTTTTCCAGAGTATTCCATGCTTGACTTCGCCAAGCGACACAGCCTTCAAGCTCTGGATAGAGGTGGGACGGAAGGATGTCGAATGCCGACCGGACCAGTCGCATAGTTGACGGGGTGACGGGAAACATGCCAGAGGTGGTGGCTGGATAAGGCGTGAACTTCATGATCTGTTGTCAGCGCCGTTCAGCATGCATACTCTGGCGACTCCAGCTTGGTACTTGTAGCAGTTACAGTGTCCGGCACCGCGCCATGACTTTTGTTCGGGTTTGGAGGCGAGAAACGAGGAGCTGAAGTCCCAGCTGCAGTCCAAGCACAGGGCTCTGCAGGCCA